CCCAAAACCCCAAAACCCCAAAACCCCAAAACCCCAAAACCCCAAAACCCCAAAAATAATCTAAGCTATTGAAAACTTTATTAAATTTAGTGCAAAGAGATTACTTTTTAACCTTCTTTCTTCTCCGACTCTTACCAGATTTGACTCTCTTTTTCTTTTCTGCTGAATGTAGAGCATCCATTCTCTTTTTATTCTGAGTTTCTTGAAGTTCAGAGCGATCTTCTTTGTCATACGCATCAATCTGAGCATCCTCTTCTTCATCTATGTTTATATTATTACTACCTCGTGAGATTTCAGGGAGTTTTTCATATTGTTCATCATCCTCTTGTTCCTTTTGGAAGGTGATCACAGCTCCTTGAGCATATTTTTCATCATTTGGGTCTCGAAGTTTTGAAATTTTCTTCCTAGCTTTGCCTCTATTTCCCTTATTTACCAGTTTTCTTGAGTAATTTTTTAGGAGTGCCATCGTCTTCATTTAGGAGCCTGTGAGTGTGGTTATTATCATACTGCCCCATTCCATTGGTCATTAAGGAATGATCATTAGTTTCTGAATCAAAGAGAAGATTAGAAATTCCATCTCTGTAATCATTGATCCTCATTATTTGTCCAGGGGCTTTTTTAGGCCCTAGGATGAAGCCTTTACTCATACCATCCTCTTCAATATCATTGAGTATTTTCTTGTGAATATCAGCATATATTTTCTTGACTGGCTTCAAGGGGTAAACACCTGGATTAATCATGTATTTAGCATATTTATAATCAAAATTTTCATGCAGATCATCATTAATTTTAGCATTGATAGTGGCGTATCTTTGTTTGATCCCATTGGGGTCTATAAATGGCTTACCTATAGATATTCCCATATGTACTTTATCCTTAAGAGTCTTCTTCTCAAATTCTAAAATTCTGTTCAACATGACATGCTTTTGATTTGAGTTTTTCCTTTGAATGACTCATCACCAAGCAATTAAGATTGCTAAGAGTAGGACGATTATAACAATCAGAAGCACTAGGTAGAGGACGTTGACCTGGTCTCATTCTCCTTTGGTGCCTCATTGGTTACCCCCAATACATCAGTATTCTCAAGTCGATCAAATGTCTGAAGATGTAGAGCTCATTTATAATTTCAAATTATAATTTTCCCAAGGGGTTTTGGGGTTTTGGGGTTTTGGGGTTTTGGGGTTTTGGG